TTTTCTTTGTTGTTTTTTTCCTACTAAGCTCTCTCTTTGTAAGTCTTTGGTTTTTGGACACAAACGTCGCAACGAGTATTACGGACACCGGTGTGTGCGAAACAGGCTTGCTCGTGTAAAACTTCTGAACAACTGTCTAATTGTTTTTTTTTTTTTTTTTTTGCGAGACGCTTCCTATGGCTCATCGAAATTCGCAAAAAGCGCGCCGGAGGTCAGCGCGCGGTCTGCGCGGAACGATAACTTATTTGGCTTGCCGAGGATTTACGAGATCCGATATTGGATAATGAATCAGGTCTCTCCTCCCTTGATGGAATTAACTCACCTATAGCCCGGGAGAAAACTCGCCGTATAGCGGCGACGTCCGCGTGTAACCTTTATTAGAGAACAGAGGAAGGAAACCGGAAGGGGTGAGGAGGGCAAAGAGAGAGAGAGAGAGAGAGAGAGAGGGAACGCGCGAAGCTCGTCGACTTGTTTTACGGGCTCGTGTTACGTCTTTATGAGAGAGTAAGACGTAAGTCAAGAGTTTGTTCACCGCGACTTGCAGTCTTCATGCGCTTCTAATTCTGGTTTTTTTAATTTCTCGCAGCGCAACGATCTCGATCGTGAATTACTCCCGTCAATTGAAAAACCATTTCTCATCGCCCCAACGTAAATATCACGCTAGCAGGACATTTGTTAAAAAAATAATTATAACAAATTATTTACATATGTGAAGTTAGTAACAGATTTGTTAAAAACAAATTTTTTAATATAAAATTTTTAATAGTTTAATATTAAATAGTATATAAATTTTTAATAGTTTAATATTTACTAGTTTAATATAAATATTTACATATCTAAACTATTTTTCTAACAAATGTTCATTGGAACAGTTACGATTCACAGAATTTACGTCTAATATTTACATATCTAAATAATTATTTTTTTAATAAATAGGGGACGGTTATCTTATATGTATGTTGTCGAGAATATACAACGTCTCGGTTAAATAGATACAATAACTGGTTCTAAGTATTGGTGAAACTATGGGAATGAGCGCGCAATAAAACTGTCGTAAATCTCGCAAGTGATGAATCCGTATTTATGCGTTTTATAAAAACGACTGACGTTAAACGCGCAAACCCACGTTTTCGGGAATTGTTCACGAAGAATTCACGACTTTGGAAAGATTACGCCGACGTGTCTCAATATTTTTGCCGACAAACGGGGCGCGCAGCATTGAAATCGTGCCTTTTAAAGAATAGTAAAAAAAAAAAAGAAGCGAAGGACGAAATCTTTCTCAGGTATCCATTACCTATTCCGACCATTGTGAAATCACAACACCAATCGTCATCTGTGAAGTCTATTGTGCCGCGCGCTACGTAATGACGATAATAAAGACATGATGTAGGGTTTTTCAAGGAGGTTTTCTCTTCGTTTTTTTTTTTTTTTTTTTTTTGATTACCTACTCAAACTTTTATTCACATTTTCGCGCTTTCGAAACAATCTGAATTCTTGTTTTTTTTTTTACGATTCACACTGATTTCGGACCGAGATAAAACGAGTTATGTTGCTACCGGCAATGAGAGGTAGTTAAAACGTTAACGATAGTTGTACGCATACCTATAAAAACGTTGATGAATAGTTGACACACACATATATTGCATTTATATCATACGAAAGCGCGAGAGCACAAAACCGGCGAAATTGCCGGGCGAATCAAATTTTCACGTGATCGAAGCTTTCGACTATAATCGGCCGTTTGATCTCCGACGGGACAATATTTCCCTCATAAACGGGCAGGCATGGCGAATCCGACCACCGACCGTCTATAGGGCTGGTAATAAAGCAAGGGCTTATAAATAACACGGTGGTTCATGACTGCGACGGGGTTGTTGTTGCAGCTCGAGCGGAGAGCGTGGCAAATCGTTATCCTGCTTCTCGCCGTCGCGTCGTTTCGATTCGCATGAATCGTGTATCGAGAGAGACGCGCGATGTCGATCGGCATTGTACCTCGGTCGGAGCGATTATCGCGGACGCGCTCGGATCACTGTGGGAATTAATTTGCGGGGAATCGACACACACACACACACACACACGTCTCAATGGAAAACCCATTTATAATCGCCTTCGGAAATCGTTTAACGGAGAATGAAGGTTTCTTTTTGTAACGTTCGATATATTAACGTTATTTTCTCCGAAGTGAATTTCTCGAAGATAGCCCAAAGACAGAGAACTTGAATTCTCTGAGTTTTTGAGAAAAAAGGTTTTTTTCCCGTTTCCGCAATCCTTTATGCGGCAGGCAAGACGTCCACCAAATTACGGTACTTTATTTCCCATTTGGCTCAAAGATGAGTGCGTTTGGCAAAAAAAAACCAAGAGGTTAAAAAAACTGTGACTAATCGTGGAAATTTCACCCAATTATTGTAAGATAATCGCAGGGACAAGGAAGAAAAAATAAAACTTGCTGAAAAGATTTGGGTAACTTAGTGCAACCAAATTGACAGTTTTATTGCTCAGAGAAATAAAAAGCTTTGAGAACTCTTTTCATTTTCGTCAGTGATAAAGAAAAACGTTTATGTGAATCGTTATTGAATTTCTTCTGCACACAATGTGCATCATGGAGCGTCATTGTCAAATGTAACGCTTTCACGTGATTTTGTCTTTTCAATTAACGGAAATTTTTTCTATTTTTAATTTTCCGTAACCGCTCGCAATATTTTACTAATGCATCTTTTTCGGATCAAGTACGTAATTCTCACAACTTTTTTCTAACGTTCCAACACTCTTGCCTTCATCCCAAAAGCCGTTAGAAAAAAAACAAAAACCTATAGTTTTATAAAAACTTTAATATACAGATATCGACTTTATGCGCAACTTCGCGCGTAAATAAAGAAAGTACGTGAGAAAGGAAAAACACATCTCTGCTCGATAGATGTGAAAATGTGATAAAGAAGGAGGCTATGAAAGATGAAATTTATTATAACAAACATTACAATGTGTCTATAATGTGTAATATGACTTTTTATTCGTTGCCATTTTTCTCTTTTTTATTCTTTTCCATCTTAGATCTAACACACTACCTAAATTACGCGTAATTTTACCTAGAGATCTATATGTACAAGATACAGAATATATACAAGAGAGTTATATATACATATACATACATATATATATATATATATATGTATATATACTACGTGTGTTCAGTGTTTGATGCTTCCGCATCAAAATCGACCATTCTCTTTTCTCTTACATAATTAGCGCGAAACCGCAACGGATGAGCACCGAGCGAATACTTCATGAAACAGTTTATTATATATTTTTTCGATGCATTTTGCATATTGAATTTTTTCTATTGAATATCAATCAATAAATGCGTGTGCGTGTGCTCATACATCTATGCGAACGTAAAATTCACTCGTCAGGTATTAATCGACCGCAATACGTTATCTGTGTACGCATTATCACTTNTTTNTTNTNGA